AATAATTTTATATTTAAAGAACTTTCAGAAGTTTGAATTCTGAATATGAGCGAACTTTTCCTTTAACTCCTTCTAGCCAGTAGGTGGCAGACTTGCTCTTGCCCTCTATTATTCCATGCTGTTTTTCAGCCTATTGCCATGTCTTAGCATTAGCAACTAAAAAAGTTAGCTTAACTTTCCAGAAGGAAAGCAGAAACCTCTGTGTTCTTCTGACACTTTCTGCTTTGGTAAATCAGGAACCAACACTTAAACGATATTCACCATCATTCTGCCTATTTGGCTCTAATCTGATAAATGTGAAGGCTGGTTTATGCTCAGAAACCTTCCGCAGACACTCTGCTGCACTTCTCCTAAGTTGTATGTGAGTGCAGACAGTGTCGCAGACAGGAGGCCTCTGATTGGTCAATTCTACATCCTCTCTACACTTTTTGCATTTCCTGTTTGGTTCCTTACCGGCTTGTTTCATCTGTATGACCGCCATTGTGAGAAAGACTGGTGAAGATGGACCAGCTAGAAGAGCGAGGTGCGCGAGAACGCTGGGACCCTTTTTCCACCTGGATCCCCGCTCTTTTTGAGTTATTGACAAGTCGAAATCCAGTGCTGTCCAAAAATTCACAAATATAGGGCTCATGTCTCAAAAGTCTCAAAGCATTTTCCCCCAAGCTGCCTCACCCTCTTTAGCTGTATTTATACTGTGGAAGCATGTTTTTCCTTGGACTATTTGTTTTGTTTTTTTGAGTTTTTACAGCAGTAGTGGCTCGTTTTTTTGACAGTAGGCTGACAGGAAAGGTGGTATGAGAGAGGGAGAGAGACATGCGGGAAAGGACCACAAGTCAGATGCGAACCCAGGACGGCCGCATCGATGACTAAGGCCTCATTACATGGGTAGTCCGCACTAGCCACTGCATCACCTGCACGCCCAGCTTGGGCTATTTGTGAGCTAAAATATTTTGAGTGTGCATTTTCCCTGCATAAATGGGGGTGATTGTTTGGAAGTCTTGTACCAGTCTGTATACTGGAGTTAAGTTATGGAGTTAAGAGTGGGGATGACAGAAAGCAGTTGCCTCCCTACTCTAGACAAGGGTGAAGGGAGGGTGATGAGAGATAAGAACGAGTTCACACTACCTTCTTCATGCCATGAACAGGAGACCTGTTCTGAGTGTTTATCTGGCTAAGATTTATGTCCTTGATGAATTGAAGTGATTTTTCTTGGGAATAACCAAATGTTCAAGTGTGAGAAAGTTCTTTATGCAGGGGGAGGGTTGGTTCCCCTGAGGGGAGTGTTTGTGATTTTGTAAGGTATAAATATATGTATTGAAATGCCTCAGTGAGAGCTCTATCTCTCTGTCTGAGGATTTAAAATAAATTTGAAAAAAAAATGTCTCCTCCTCAGCTTCATAACTTCACAATACCTTCTTTGTAGCATGGTGCGAGTGTGCACTGATACTCCGAGGAGCTACTTCAGAAAAAATGAGTCACTAGTGCTGTAACATAAAAAAAACAAAAAAACAAAGATGGACCATAAGCTGAGTACAGAGAGCTGGTGAAGCGCTTTGTGGCATGGTGTGGAAACAATCATCTGATCCTGAATGTCAACAAACCAAGGAGATGATTGGAGATTTCAGAAGAAACGGGAACAAGATGAATCCTGTTAACAAACCTGTTAACCTCTGGAGATGATTTCACAGAGAAGGAAGAAGATGATGGACAACAGTAAGCCTCCTCTTCATCAGACTGTTAAAAACCAACAGAGGATCTTCAGTCAGAGGCTTTTCTAGATCTACTGTAGACAGACCTCTACAGGAGATCCTTCCTGCCTACAGCATCTACACGTGTTTAAAAAAAATAACCTATGAGTTTCTGCAACATTTAATTTCACTTTGGGATTAATAAAGTATTTTTGAACTAAATTGAATAAAGGACTTACTTTTTATGGTTATTTTCAGTTCATAAGTGTTCAGCTCTTTGTTGTTTGGGTATTTTTCAGTTGTTCAGTGCTCTATGAATGAAGCTGTTGTGGTAAAGAGAAATCCAGAAGGTTAACGTCCCTTTGACTTCTGTTCCAGCTGTCTAAGCTCCCTTCTGTCCATTTCTTCAGGTACGTTACAGCAGCTTATTTCGGACACCATGGTCCGCTGGGCTCAGGAGTCGGTCATAGAGGACCCAGAGCTGGTGAGAGCCATGTTTGTGCTTCTGCACCGACAGTACGACGGCATCGGGGGACAGGTATGGTTCAGTCCTTTCTCTTTCACCAAAACAGGAGCTACAAATAGCTTCATTAAGGAGCCGGTAAATGTTAAGAGATTAAATTAAACAGAAGTGGAATGACCAATCTATAGATTATATGGCTTGTGTTTCTGGATTTAACAGCTAAATGAGAACAGAGCTGCAGGAACCACAGAAACAGCAGTAGAGCCACAGATGTAAAGAAACATTAGTTCACATGTATTGATCAGAAAGCTTTAATTAGTGAGTGTTAATTAAGCTGCAGGCAGGTGGAAGACAAGATTCCTGAACATAATGCAGAAGGACCTGCAGATGACTGGGCCTACAATAGTAAGGTGAGGTGGAGGCTGATGTTTTGCTCTGCTGAACCCTGAGTGGAACAGGCAACAGAAGAAGAAAGATTAACTATTTCAATCATGACGCTTGATGACAACCCCAGCATTATTCTGCAATGACTGTGACGCGCGCAGGAGAGTCAGAGGCTAGTGCATCCTAAGGGCAAATTTCTATTTTT